GCCGAGCCCTCCCCGCCCCGCCTGCCCGCCGCAGCCCGCCCTGGGAACCTGAAGATGACCGGGCAGGAGGTTGTAACCCGCGAGGCCTCCGTGCCGTCTCCGGGGTGCTGCAGTGCCTCACAGAGAGCTCGGCGTCCCTGTGGAGTGCGCTCCGTAAGAAAGCGGGAGGTTGAACTGCTTCAGAAATTCCACGAACGGAAAGCGGGATGAGGAACGCTGAACAGATACACATCTGATGAATGTCTTGACTGCTTCTCTGTGAAGTATGCTCTTATATAAGAACGTACGCGGTGCCCGTGCACTTTTAAGGTGGCAGAAGTAATCCCGAGATCACCAGAGTCTTCATCGCCAGTGCGGGGCGAGAACGTGGCCCGGTCCTTCTCGGAGCCCGGAGTGAGGCCTGTGCTCGCTTCCCGGTGCCAGCAACTCGCAGATTCCAGTGTGACCCTGACCCAGCCCCAGCCCCAGCTGCCATACGAGCAGCCCCATGCCCACAGACGCCTGCCCTGAGCTTAGCCCGAAGCCCCTCCCCTCAGCTCTGTCTCTGGCCCCCACCTCTTCTTCCTCCCTGTCGCTTTCTTTCCTTTGTTTCTTAAGAGAGGGTCTCTTTCTGTAGTTCACATTGGCCTTGAACTCACTGTGTAGCCCAGGTTGGTCTCAGACTTGTGGTGATCGTCCTGCCTCAGCCTCCTCTATGTCCTCTTTATTTTTTCCAGCTACTCAGGCTAAATCATGGGGCTTGATTCCCCCTTTCCTACACCCCATATAGAAGCTGTTGGCAGATCCCGTCCCATTGACACTTCTCACAGACGTTTGGAATTTGCCTCCTACCCCTCAACTGCCGCCCTAGTTCAAGCGATTGTCATCTCTTTCTGAGTTTAGCTCACTCCTGGCTGGCCTGGAGGCTTGGGCTGTTTCCTCTGCTGTTTGTATAAGTCATCGAGCCACACTTGGTGTTGAGGCCACCCCTCCGTGCATGAGCCCCTTCCTGTCTGACCTGCTCCCTGGCCTTCTGGTTCTTTCCTGACCCTGTGCCCTTGTCCCGCCGCTGCTGAGCTCCGTGACCCTTGTTGGGCACAGCTGTACCTGGGGGCTTCTGACACCACCTCCCGAAGCCCAGGCTTCTGGGCCCTTCCGGGTCCCAAGGCCGTTCACACTGTGGCCGCGGGGCAGGAATGGGCGCACGCGCGTGTTAGGTTCCGCTTGCCTTCCTCGCGCTGCACCCGCTGTCTCCTGTGTTGGGCAAGGCGACCTTCACCCCTGAGCCTCAGGGACTCGGCCCGCGGGACGCTTCTCCAGCCTCTCACTCCGCTTCGGTGTGAGCTCTCGAGTCAGCACCGGAAGGGAGGGGGCGAGCTGCTGTGAGCCAGGGATTGAAACCGCTGGTTCTGAGTGATTTCTGTTTTCTTGGGTTGCAGGATGGGAGGCTCCAGACCGGGGACCACATCTTGAAGATCGGTGGCACCGACGTGCAGGGCATGAGCAGCGAGCAGGTCGCCCAGGTGCTGAGGACCTGCGGGAGTGCGGTCAGGATGCTGGTGGCCCGAGACCCGGTGGGCGGGATCACAGTGACACCCCCCACGCCCACCGCCTCACCAGTCGCCCTGCCTGTGGCCCCACCTGCCCTGGCCAGTCGGAGCCCCGCGATGGTGAGTACAGTCATCACAGGGCCGCACCGCGGGCAGGCGGGTATGGGGCTGGCCTCGGGAGGCGCAGGGACGGCCTCCCTCCCTGTGGGGTCACCGCTGGTGCAGGCACTGCCAGCAGGCACGGATGCTGGTGATGATGTTTAGCCCATGGGACTAAAGACTTGCACACCATGCAGGTGTGCAATAACAGCCACGATTGCTGGCCGCTGTGCAGCCCTGCGCTGTCCTCCTGTGCCTCCGGCCAGGGTCACCGCCCCTCTGCAGGCCTGAGGCACAAGCAGGCATGGAAGCTGGAACTGGACAGGTCTCTCCCAGGCTCAAAAAGAAGGCGGGGTGCAGGAGGAAAGAAAATGGGGTGCCAATGGCCAGGAGGATGGGAGGCTTTGATCAGGTCTCCCTGGGTCTGTAGGAAGGTCGCCTACCTTTTTCTCCTGGCAGCCACATGAGTGGGAATTTTCTTTTAAATTTGTGCTTGCGGCTGGGGATTTAGCTCAGCAGCACAGTGCCTGCTTGGCAAGCGTGAGGTCGTGAGTTTGATTCCCCGTACCAGAAAAAAACAAAATAACAAAACCAAAAAAAAGTGCTAAGCAGTCGGGGCTGGGGATTTAGCTCAGTGGCACAGCGCCTGCCTGGCAAGTGTGAGGTCATGAGTTCGATTCCTGGTACCAGAAAAAAAACAAAAGAAAAAAAAATCTATGCTCACACGTTCCACAGTGTGTAATAACTATGTCTGCCACGGGCAACGGTCCGGGGCATCACAGACCTTCATTCTTCCTGTGTCACCTCCCATGACCCTCTGTCTTCCCTTCCTTAACTGGAAATTTTCTCTTTGCTTTCTTTCTTTTTCTTTTTCCTGTGGTGCAGAGGATGGAACCCAGGACCTAGTGTGTGCCACGCAAATGTTCTACCACTGAGTCATACCCCCACTTCTTTTTAATTTTGAGATGGGTCTGGCTAAGAATATGGTAGTGCACGTCTGTAATACCAGCACTCTGGGAGGCTGAGGCAGGACGATCACCATGATGTGTGCCTGAAGTACATAGTGAGACCCTATCTCAAACAAGCAAACGAAAAAAGAAAGTTCGAAGCCAGACTGAGGAACTTGGCAAGACTGTCTCACAAATAAAAGCAGCTGTGTATATAGCTCAGTGCTCACTGGATGTAATCCCCAGCACTGCTCCAGATTTTTTTATCCTAAATGTGGTTGCAGCTGTTTGCTTCCCCGTCCTTTATTCCAACCCTAGCAGCTTTCCACCTGTGAGCACTCGAAGGAGACTGATCCGGTCAGTGCTGTTCTGACCCGAAGGCAAGGTGCTGTATGTCTAGACCCGCACTCCGGAACAGAGGTTTCAGTCTTTTCTTAGAGCTCACAGCTACCAACCTGACCTGCTTCTAAACCGTCCTTCAGCTGTGATGCTTTCAGCTGCAAACGCCGTGTGAGGTCTTCCTCAGTGGTTGCACTGATTTTCTGCTGTAGAACAAATCATAGCAAGCGCAGCAGCCTCAGTCGCCGCCCCTGTTCCTTCACAGCTCTGTGGTCAGCGCTTTCAGGGCACACCCTGCGCATGGCACAGCCCAGGTGCTGGCTGTTCCCTCTGGGCGACCCAGTGCCTGCAGCTGTCGGGCTCAGGGCCCTTTTCTGAGCTGGTTGTTGGCCCTGAGATCTTCCACCTCAGAGCGGTCCCCATGCCCCGCCGACCCCAGGCCCAGCGTCCAGTGCTCCTTTTTAGATCTGCCCTCCTGCCCCCTCCAGGAGCTGCCTCTGCCTTCGAAGGGTAGGAGGGATTAGAAGAGTTTGTCTGTCTTTGCCACCTGAGTGTCCCAGACACAAGAGCCGCTCTGGGGGCTGATGGTTACGGGAACCATGCGGGAGTTCTGCTTACTGCAGGAAAACTCGGGCAGCTCTCACACTGACTGTGTACACAGCCGCGTAACCAAATGTACAATCAAAGTTTGCTATTTCCTTCTAGGACAGTTCTTCGCTGTTTGAAACTTACAATGTTGAACTAGTTAAAAAAGATGGACAGAGCCTTGGAATTAGAATTGTTGGCTATGTTGGAACATCTCACGCAGGTAAACGAATCATTTCTCTCCTCTATTGGAAGTAATTGTGAAGGACGTTAAGGTTTCTTAGACAGTAAAATTAAGTACCTGCAGGTTTTAATTTAATCCTTGAACAATAAAAGCATGAATCTGTAATAGCAGCCAGTTACTTTTCAGTGATTGGAGAATCACATTTTCATCTCAATAGTTTAATAGTTGGGCTGAAAGTCATTAAGAAAAGAATTTAATTGTCCAATGCAGTGTATAACATTTGAATTCTGCCTGCTGTTGTTTCTAAAATTGATACATCTTTGACACTATAACTCTTACCTTTATGGTACATGGTGCTGTGTTTGTGATGAATTAAGATGAAGTTTATAATGTTGCACATTTTGAATGTGGGAAAAGTGTTACTGTTTAATCACTGGAAAATGACAAAACAGGTATTTCCTTAGAATTGTTTTTCTTTCTTGCAAAGAAAGTACATGAAAGTAAAATCAAAGTGTGCAAGTAGCACATGGCTCTGAATAAAACTGAGTAATCTCCGTCAACCTCGCCTCACCTACACTGTCAGCTTTAGTCAGCTTTGGTAACTTTCACAGTCAGAAGTTTCCTTTCATTGTCAGAGTCACTAGGGTGAGGAAAAATAAATCTTTTCATAAGTTTTGTTCGTTACATGAAGATTCAGCTGTGAGATAATTTAGTTTTTCTGAAAAATAGCAAGGTTAGAGTGTCAATTTCTGTTAAACAATTATCCTGCCTCTGGCAGCAGGTGGAAACATTAGGTGTGCTAATGTATTCACGGCCGATGACATTCCTGTCACACTGGCTTGTGCTATTTTAACCTAATGAAACACCTTTTTTCAGACCTTCATGTCCTTTTAAGTGCCACCTTTTTTAGGTTCAGAATTTCAATAAATTCCCAAAGATTGAAGTGTAGATTTTATAATAATGTTGCAAAAAACATATTGAGTAGTTGTCACTGTGTTAGGTCTGGTTAAAGGAGTCATGGTCGGTTTCTAAACTTACGGCTTAGTTCCTAAATAAAAATGAATGACTGATAGAAAATTGAGAACATTTGATGTTTATGTTACTGAATAGAAAAACAATCATTTTTGCTTCTTTACTCTCAAACAAAGCTTTAGGGTCTGGGTGGTTTGGGGAGATGGTCAGGCAAATCCAAAAGCTAGAATATTTTAAAACTCGATGTGCTTTGTTTCGGTGGTTTGGGGGATGGAACCCAGGGTCTGGGGCACATGGGTCATACTCTACTGCTGAGCTGCGGCCCCGCCCATAATCTTAAACATCATTTTGTTCTATTTGGCTTATTGGACCTTTGAGGGATTACTCTACTTAGTTCTGGAGGTTATAGAAAAATAAATATAAGAGTCTGAGTTGCCAAGCACATGCTTATAATCTCAGCTATGTGGGAGGCTGAGGCAGGAGAATCACTTGAGCCCAGGAATTCCAGACCAGTCTAGGGAACACAGTGACACCCTGCGCCCCCAAAATAGTGGAAAGGAAAGAAAAGTCTGTCTACAGAGACTAACATGTAAGAGATGTAAATGCTCAAGATTGTCTAAAGTATGTTTTTGCATAGATGTATAGTTAATCATGGTCAGGCAGGTGAAAGATTTGATGTAACAGAAGGGAATGAGAATTCACAAAGCAGGAGGTGCTGGGCTGGGAATGAAAAGAGGGATTTGACAAAGGCTGAGGTTGATAGGACGGAAGAGTCCCGGAGAGGAAGCGCAGAGTCAGGAAGGCGCTTGTGATGACACCGCCCAGGGGTGTGTTTCCTTTCCAGTGCTTTCCCAGAGGAGTGTGCGATTTGTGAAGAGCTGTGACCTGTTTCTGTTCTGCAGTGGGGGGCTAAGGGTCCTCTCCCATTGCGGAGCTCCCTTAGGTTCCTGCTGGTCACTCTTCCCCTTTCTGGGGCGTCGGGGGTGCTGCGGGGAACACAGCCCCACTGGAGAGGACCCAAGGCCTCACTGAGTTGGTGCCGTCCGGGCCTGGGTGATGCTTGCCTAGCAAGTAGAGTCAGATCGTCTGCATTCGGGTCACTTGTGACGGTGATAGTTGACACAATCTGCCAGCCTCTGCCTGCTCCAAGTGGTGCTTGTCAGCCCAGGCCTCCGCTTGCTAACCTCTTGGTGGGAGTGGTGTGGTCAGTCCACTGAGTGTTCTTCCTCTGCCTGCACCCAGGGGAGCCTGCGGGCATCTATGTGAAGAGCATTGTGCCTGGCAGCGCCGCGCAGCACAGCGGCCAGATCCGTGTGGACGACCAGATTGTGGCCGTGAGTTGCCTGCCCGTCACACGGGGTGGAGGGAGGGGGCTGCGCGCTGGAGGGCAGTGTCATCGGGAAAACTGAGTTCACTAACAGTGGAATCCACTCATTTGTCTTCTTATGGCCTGCGTTTGCCTTTTTTCAGCTGGTGAAGAAACAATTCAGTAATCATATGGTAGGGAGAAAGATCGGTGATCTCGAAAGTCCTTGAATTCTAGAAAACTCAGAACAGTATGGTGCTCTCTGAACTTGCGTGTTTCTCAGGGCTGACACCTCTGCCCCTGTTCCTCGGCTCCAGGTCGACGGAGTGGACATCCAGGGCCTGGCCAGCCAGGACGTCGTGCAGGTACTGCGGGCCGCGGGCCGTGTGGTGCACCTCACGCTGCTGCGCAGGAGGACACCGGCACCAGGGCCCTCGCCCGAGCAGCCTGGGGAGAGAGGTAACTGCGGCTTCCGCTGCCTTGGGCAGGGATAGCAGGGAGATGGCACCCGGTGTTTCCTGTGGAGCCCAGCGGCTCCTGCAGATTGCTGCTGCCCCCGCCTGTTGGCCTGCGGGTGAGGAGCTGCACTTCTTCCCCATCCTGTCCGACCACAGCTGTGCTGCTTGGACCTTGGGCTCTGGTCACCCTGGTCAGTGGGCTTTGTTCTGTGCTGTGCTGATTGGTTGTTTGACAATTAGCAAGAGAAAGTAAAATGGGAGGTTATAGTCGAGAATTCCTTTAGTTGTAAAATAACTTGTAAATTTGGTAAAAATAGCAGATCTTCATGTTAGGAGGAATATGTAACTGCATACCTACAAAGCTGTAAGTTTCAATTTGTGAATGTATTAAACATCACAGGAGGTGACCGTGAGCCAGGTTCAAAGTGAGTGACTAGTTCCTAATTGGTCGGAGTGAAGGATTTCTGTTTTAGCATTTTCAGAGATGAATAGATGAATCAATTTTATACCCCCTCTGGAAAAACTTCTCTGAAGATACGAACCTGGAAGGCTTTGCTTTCAGCCAAAATTGATTTCTATTGAAACCTTGTTTTTGTTACTGGGAATTGAAATTGAACCTAGGGTCCTTATTTATTTAATTATTTTTCAGGACAGAATCTCACTAGTTGCTAGGTAGCCCAGGCTGAGGCTCAGACTTGTGATCCTCCTGCCTCAGCCTCCCAGAGTGCTGGCATTGTAGGCCTGTGTCATTCCAGGCTAAACTGTAGCTTCTCTTTTTTTGAGACAGGGTCTTAATATGTAGTTCAGGCTAGCCTTGAACTCACTATGTAGCCTAGGCTGGCCTTGAACTCAGGGCAATCCTCCTGCCTCCGCTTCCCTGAGTGCTGGAATTATAGGCATGTGCCACCATGCCCAGCCAAAACTGGAACTTCTAATGTTTTATGTGTTTCAAATTTTGTTACTGAAGACAGATGCTCCGTTACTTGAATTGTATGCTTGAAATACAGTATAATTAGTACAATTCATACCATTAGTACCTGGACAGTACTCACGGTACCCATTGTACCATGTTGACTTGAGAGGCTTCATGGTTTTCTCAAGGCCTGCAGAGCCGGCATGCCCATCCGTACGGGTGTGGCGGTGTCTGGGAGTCAGCAGAGCCTTGCTGGGAGGGCTGGACTTGGAGTCTGTCTGGGATGTGTTTTGCCTCTTAAGGCTGCATTCTTCCTTGCTACATTGCCCAGGCTGGGCTTGAACTTACCATCCTCCTGCCTCAGCCTCTGGAACTGCTGGGATTAAAAGATTCTTTGTGGATGTGATCTCACCTTATCTGATTTATGATACAGTACTCTAGCTAGAAGCATTGATTCACTTACAGAAAATAAGCCTGCACCTTTTTTTGTTTTGTTTTTTAAACACTGTTTTGAGACAGGGTCTTGCTCTACATTCCAGGCTGGTCTTGAATTCACTGTATGGCCCCAACTGGCTCCCAACTCATGACGACTGTTCTGCCTCAGCCTCCCTAGTGCTGGGATCACAAGCCTGTGCACTTTCCTCCATGCTCCGGTCCCCGCCATGAGCCTCCCTAGCAGACCTCGAAGGCCTGGCACCGTGGCGCTTAGCACTGTGCGCTGTCCCTACGCCTGTCCATGTCGCCTCACGGCACTGCCTTTCCTCCCACTCCCCACCACCCAGGCAGCTCTGGGCCCCGTCCAGTGCAGACGTCAGTGTGCTGCTCCTTGTGTGGTCACAGCCCCACAGCAGCCGTTTCCTGGTGACACCACGGGCACTCTACACCCCCAGCCCTTTTCATGTTTAAATTTGAGACTGGGTCTCACTGAGTCACCAGGTTGCCAATACTGGCTCAAAGCAATGACCCTCCCACCTGAGCCTCCCATGGAGTTGGGACTGTAGGCGTGTGCTGTTGTGTCTGGCTTTCAACTTCTTTATAATTGTTAAAAAATGTTAAACATACAGAAAAAGATGAAAAATGAATGATGAATACTCACAAATCCATCATTTAGATCCAGTCATTAACATTTGCCCATGTTTGCCTTGGCTGTCTGTCCTTTTGCCTGAATCATTTCTAAGTGGTGGACATTATGACGCTGGACATACTAAAGACTATGTCTTAATAAAAATCAGGGTATTTTCTTATATAACCAAAGAAAATGAATGAAAATTTACTAGTATAAAATGCCAAATGCACGCTTAAATTTTTCCAGTGCCCCGAGTTTCTCTTGTGTCTCTGGTTCCTTCACCTGGTCTAGCAGCAGCTGCCCCAGGTCGTAGATCGGCTCCCTGTGTGGACCCCAAGGCCTGCCCCCTGAGAACCACACACCTGTCCACACAGGCGCTGTGACGGCTCAGTCCCTCTGCCACTGGAACACTGCTGAGTTTTCCCTTGTGCTGTTGACATGTTCTTCACATACTGTGTTTCCTCCGATTGTGAGCTAGAGCTCAAGTCTTTCTATCCAGGTTAACAACTGTTGACAACTGTTAAAGAGAGTGCTTTATAAATGACGTGTATGTGTTTGAAAATAACTTGGAATGGTTCTTGGTCCACTTGTCTTGTGTTTCAGAGGCCCACAGGGACTTGCTGCTGACCCTGCGTAACTGCAGTTACCTAGCGCAGCTGAGAGAAGGGCGGAGGCTCCTTCCACCTGGGCTTGTCCTGTGGCAGCCTGTGACCTGCATGGCGCTGTCACACCACAGCCCCAGGGTCCACTTTCTCTGCCTGTGGTGCTCTTTATCTGCCATACAGTGGTGTCATGAAGACTTAGCACCTCTTTGCCTCCTTCTCTTTTTTTTTTCTATTTATTTAGGGTTTTTTTGAGACAGGGTCTCAATATGTAGTTCAGGCTGGCCTTGAACTTAACACTGTAGCCCAGGCTGGCCTGGAGCTCACCGTGGTCTCTTGCCTCAGCCTTCTGAGTGCTGGGATTATAGGTATGTGCCCCAGGCCCAGAGCTTTTTTTCTTTTAGAGCTGTATTGGAAAGCACCCACCCTGCCCCATCATCCACTTGACTTTGCTTGTGTCTCCCATTCTCTCCCGTTTGCCTCAGTGGGGTCCACAACCTTGACTTTGCCCTGAATCGCTTACCCATGTGGTGTTTTGGGTAAGGGGTCGTAGGTGCTTGTGCGGTGTGCACAGGTCGACAGCAGCGAGCTGGTCCCCAGCCCTGGGATTCACCCTGTGATTCTCACTTTAGGGTCTGATCTGGGACCACCCAAAACACCAGCTCTCTTCCTGGCCGGAGCAGTGGACACAGAAACGAGCTTGGACGGCGAAGAAGAGGAAATCAGGCAGGCGATGGACAATTGTGAACAGGATGGCGTCTGTGCCCCGGGGAGACTGGGTAGGCCCATACGTTTGCCCCACAGCACCTAGACTTGCTCACTTGCTGGCCGCTTCTTCCTGTCTAGTTAATACAATGTGAGTGATCTCAGAGGCAGTTTTGAGATTTAAAATGCGGTGTTCTTTGGTTTCTATTTTTGTGTTTTAAGACAGGGTCTTGCTACATAGTTGAGACTGACCTTGAATTTGCCTTGTGGCCCAGGCTGGCCTTGAACTTGTGATCCTCCTGCCTCTGCCTCCCAAGCACTGGGATTACAGGCATGTGCCACAACATGCAGATTAAAAGGGGATATTCTTGATATGAAAATCTTAACTCTTGTGGCAGTTGGGGGCAAGGATATCCTTTCTTAATGTTTGTTTATTTTATTTTATTTTTTGGTCTTTTTGAGACAAGGTCTCGCTATGCAGTTCAGGCTGGCCTTGAGCTCACTTTGTAGGCCAGGCTGGTCTCGAACACGCAATGATCCTCCTGCCTCAGCCTCCCAAGTGCTGGGATTATAGGCGTGCACCACCACGCCTGGCCTTAATGTTTGTTTAATTGTGTTAGTTTTGAGTACATATTTATTATTACATGGTGACTGTTTTTATCTTGTTCTTAGCATTTTTAATTACTGTATGTTTAGCGTATATTGCCATTGAGGTCTCCACAGCTGTAGGTTGCAGCTGTCCGTACTCATATACCAGTGTTTCCTTTTCATGATAAAACTTAACAATGTATGTATTTTTGTGTTGCATCGGAGTGCCAGGCTCCTACGTTGTTTTCTCTGTAACTGCTGTGTGACTTTGTCCTTCAACGTGAGCAGCCGCCTCACATGTGCCTGCCCGGGAGGCTTGGCCCTGGGGAGGGCCCTGGGACTCGGGAACCTGCCTCTTCGACCCTAGTGGCTTGTGTAGCTCAGTTGAGCTCAGATTGGTTTCTGGTGAGGCTCTGGGGAGGACTACACACGTCCTGACTGTGGGAATCATCTGCGAACTCTCCATCCGTGTCTTTGGGTCAGCCGCATGGCTGTAAAGCGACTTTCTTTTTGCTCTGGTGAAATCACTTAGCAGCCCTGGTATGCAGGGTGTGATCGAGGGTGCAGCTGGACTCGGCTGCTGAGAGAAGGAGCGTCCTTTCCTTTCCAGGAGCCTTTGCACTGCTTTGCATCTCACGGCTGTGTCTGGTGTGAGCAGGGGGCTGTGTGTGAGGATGGTCGGATTCAGTGGACACCAAGGCTTTGACTCAGATCCATTTAGCACAGAGAAGCCACCGTCGGAGCATGCAAGAGGCGAGGCGCGGAACTGTTAAGAATGGAGCAGGCCCCAGGTGTGCTGGCCCAGACGCTTTTGGTACTGTGCTTTCGATAGGGTCCTTGGTCAGTCACCTTGCCTCCCTCAGCTTGTCAGGCCCCCGAGGCGCTCTCCGCAGACCCCAACACGTGCTCTTAGCACCCTTGATCGGGTGCCCCCCAGCCTGCCGGTTCAGTAGGTTGCCCTTGGAGACCAGTGTCCTGAAAGTCGGAATTGAGGCGACCACGTGGCTGTCGTACAGGGCTACCGCAGCTGTCCCCATCACCCTGACTCGAGGTCTGCGGCTGCCTCCGTCGGCTGAGGGCCGACCTGATGACAGTGACAGTGCGGGTTCCGTCTACTGCCGTTAGCACGCACACAGACATCAGTCAGATGCACCCTGTGCTCGAGCCCCGGCTGGGGTCACGTGGGGAACATGTGAACATGCTCCGAACCTGACAGTGCTCTTGACAATGGCCTCACGTGCATAACAGCGATGTCACAGCAAGACAGCCCTGGAGGCGCAAGTGTCCTGGTGAGCAGGAGCAGCAGGAGGCTGGTGTGAGACCAAAGTTCCGCCATGCGAAGGCTCATGTGGCTCCAAATGAAACCAGCATGTTGTATCCTCTGTCTGTGTGGGGCCTGGCTGTGCCTCTACAGCCCCTGGGGTGTAAAGACACCTTGAGGAAGCTTTCCCAGTGGGGTGGTGAAGAGATTAAAGATTAACGTTAAATTAGACCCTCGAGGGGCCTGATACAGCTAACTAGACACCGTTACCTGTAAGCAAGTTAGGGTTAGGGTTAGCGTTAGGGTTAGGAGTCGCCTCTCTGATTGACCTTTTCCCTTTTGTCCCGTGACTGTGCTCCTTGAAGGATGCAGTGTTGACCTTCGTCCCCCAGGCACGTCAACATTCTCTTTTTCTATCCAGAACGCACCTCAGACTCTCCAGAAAATGAGCTGAAGTCCAGGTGGGAGAACCTGCTGGGCCCCGACTACGAGGTCATGGTGAGTGCAGAGCTCCTGAAGACAGCGTGTGGCCTCCCTTCCCGTGCAGCTTAGCCCTGAAGGGGAAGAGACAGAACCAAGTAGAGCCAGCCTGCCTGTCTTTCTTCTTGCCTTTCTTCCCTAGTGGGTCAGTTGATTGATTTTTTTGAACATGGAAGTCATACGAACAATTGTGAAACACACGCGAGCTTCAATCACAATTAGCACATGCTCAGTGCATGTTGAAACCATTTAGGTCAGCTGTGGGCAGCACAGTGCTGGAGAGAGGGCTCGCAGATCCACTGCTTACTGTTGCTGGCGTTTTTATGATTGCTTTTATGATCTGTTTGTTTTATTGTACACTGAAAGGGCTGTGGATATTAGTCCTATGTTTCACAAGATTCGTACAGTTTTATGAGAAAAATGAAAGAATGATTATCAAATGTATTTGAAGAGCAGGAAGTCATTTAGCTGAGGCGTAGGTTTATGGTGCCAGGGGCCCATTAGGCTTCCTTCCGCCTGTTACTAAGACGCCCAGTGAGGGATCGCTTACGTTTCCTCATGTGAACCCCGAGAAAGCCAGCTTGTGTAAGTCTTGACAGCGCCCGCCAAGTGTGCTAGTAATTAAGTGTTCCCCTGGTCCCCGTTGTCACCCGCGTTTGTCACTAATGCTGGCTGGCTGGCAGAGGTTCTTTTCCTGTCCCTGGGTTTGAGTACCCAGCCACTACCCATCCACGTGCAGAGCATTCCCAGCGTCAGTAACCTGAGCCTGCAGGGCTCCTACTTCCTGTTCCTGCTCCATCTGCCCTTGCATGTCGCTCAACACTGCTGCCACTCGCCTCAAAGTGGGCACCTACGGAATGGCCCCGCTGCTACCCTTGATGGGTTGTTGTCTTTTTTGAAACAAGGTCTCACTAAGCAGTTCAGGCTGGCATTGAACTCACTGCATAGTCCAGGCTGCCTTCGAACTCACAGCAGTCCTCCTGCCTCAGCCTTCTGAGTGCTGGGGTTACACTTAGTGGTTTTGATAGTCAAGGAAATGTAGTTAGTTCACCACCAGGCTCTTCTTTGCTGAAGTTTTGTCCTCCACATAAACATCTTTGCACATTTTATTTGTCACGTAGTGAGGTCAAAACAGGGGAGCGGAAAAGAGGAGATGGAATTTGAAGTTGAAACTTGAAAGGGACAGCTTGTTTATTGCGAGCTGAGAATTGAGGGTGGAAAGAACGTGGGAGCCGGGGGGAGCAATGGTTCTTCCTTCATTGTCTCCAGGGCCCACTTGCCAGAGCTCGGTGCTGCTAGAGCTGAAGTTAGGTGTGGTTGGCCTTCCCCGCCTGGCGCACTGTCTGCTACAGTACAGCCACGAGGAAAGCGCCTGGCTCACCGGACAGCACAGAGGTTCCCACAGGGGCAGCGTCTTCCTCTGGGGGCTTGGCCAGCTGCTCCCCCCGGAGGGCCAGGCTTGCCAGGGAAGTCAGAGGCCACAGTTTCCCAGCTCATTGCTGACTTGCAAATTTTGTTTCAAGGCTCGAGTTTGCGAGTAAAAGGCCATGCTCTTGCTTTTGTCCAGAGTAAGGTGTTTATGGATCCGTTTCGTGGAGGTCACGTTAGCTGTTAGGGGTTGTGTGGGTTTCTGCATGGACTCAGTCATCTCTCTGTGTCTGCTGATTCTGTGTGTGTGGATTCTGAATGCCCAGGTCCAGCCTGACACTCGAAAGACACTGGGTCTACGCCGAACGCACACAGACTGCGCCACCCCTCAGTGCAGTGCAGCGCCTGTCTCTGGTATTGATGGCATGTTAGGTGTCATGAGTAACCTGGGTGGTGTTTGAGCACGTGGGAGGCTGTGCATAGATTGCACACACACACGGCCCCTTCCTCCCTGATGGGCTTGAACAGACCTGTAGCTTCGTACCCATGGGGGTCCTGACACCAATCCCAGATATACAAGTACTACTTTTGGATAATTTAGGGGAAAACGTTGATGTAGAAGACAACAAAAAACCAAATATCCTCAGAACTTCTGTATTTGGTGCTGCATTTACCGATTTTAGAACTGTTGCTAAGGTTTCCAGTGGAGTTATCAGCGCATAGGTTTTGCAGGTCTTTTCAGGGAACCTAGGAAGAAACAGGGTTGGACGTTCTCCCAGATGCATGCCGTTCTTTCTCTGTGTGTTTAGGTCGCCACCCTGGACCCCCAGATTGCAGATGATGCTGAGCTGCAGAAGTACTCAAAGGTAAGCACTGTTTAAAACACGTTCTGTCTTTTGTAATTGTTAAGAACATTCTTTAAATTCCTGCTGAGGAATCCAGGTGAGTACTGTGACGCCAGATTCCAGGCAGCAGTCACAGGTGCTGGCTGGAGTTGCCATGCTCTCAGAGGTGTGGAAGAGCAATGGGGGGTACGCCTGGGGTCGGGGAGTGGCTCTGTCACTTCTGGAAGCCCAAACCCAGGGGTGACACTTCGTCTACCTTAGAGGGAGCGTGAAGAGTGATGGGAAGAGTTTCCTGAAAACCAAGATGGGGACACAGACTCCAAAGACACCTCAGGAGTAGGTATTGAGCACCTGAGGGTCAGGGTTCTCTGTCCACAACTGTGACTCTGCTGAGTCCAGGCTCTTGTCCCAGGGAGAAGTTGTCCCTGCATCTCTTCCCTTTAATAAATGGTGCCAGTTTTTTCCACCATTTATTAAAGAGGCTTTCTTCCAGTGAACATGTTTGGCCCCTTTGTCAAGGATAAAGTGGCTGAGTCGGTTTGTAGTTGTGTCTGCATCTTCTAATCTGCTCCAGTGATCCTTGGGTCTATTTTTTTGCCAATACCATGCTGATTTTATTGCCGTAGCTTTGTAGTATAATTTGAAGTCATTGTGATGATGATTGTGATGCCTCCTGCCTTTGTTGCCTAGGGTTGCCTTTGCTATTCTAGGTCTCTTCTGTTTCCAAATGAATTTTAGGAATTTTGTCTAATTTACAAGTTTTCTCTAATTCTGTGAGGTATGCTATTAGAATTTTGATCAGGATTGCTTTAAATCTGTGTAACAATTTCGCAAATATGTCTATTTTCACTGTATTGGTTCTTCCTGCTCAAGAACAAGGGATATATTTTTCCATTTTCTGATACCCTCTTTTGGTCTTCTTTTTCAGACTACTGTAGTTTCCAATGTAGAGGTCTTTCATTTCCTCTGTTAGGTGGATTTCTACATACTTCATTTTTTTTAGATGCTGTTGTGAACGTTGTTGTTTCCCTAATTTTTCTCAGTGAGTTTGTTATTTGTGTGCAGGAATACTATTGATTTCTGAGTGTTGACTTTGTATCCAGCTACACTACTGAATTTGGTTATTGAATCTAGAAATCTTTTTGGTGTAGTTTTTGTGGGTTGTCTATGTAGAATATCATGTCATCTGCAAATAATGATAATTTAACTTCTTACTTTCATATTCTTATTTCTTTTTGTTTCTTTCGCTTGTTTAATTGCTCTGGCTAATGTTTCCAGAACTGTATTGCACAAGAGTAGTTACAGTGGTCATCCTTGTCTTGTTCTTGATTTTAGAATGAAAACTTTCAGGTTTTGTCTGCTTAGTATGATGTTGGCATTGGTTTGTCATATATGTGTTTTATCAGATTGAGATAAAGACCATGTATTCCAATTTTTAGTAAGGTTTTCACCGTGAATGGATGTTGGACTTTATCAAATGCTTTTTCTGCATCTATTGAGATGATCATTATGACTTTTTCTGTTGGCTCTGTTAATGTGTGTATTACATTTATTGATTTGTTTTTTTTTATTTTAAAGAGAATGGTGAAAGAAAAAAAAAAAGAACAATAGCAGCATACCAGCATTGCAAACGTAAACAAAATAAAGCAAGATCATTAAAAGTGATACAGGATTTCAAACAAAATGATAGGAAATAATAGTGGTTGTTATATTACATATTGTTATCTTCAGCTACATTGCTCAGATTACCAGATGCAAGAATGGAAGATTGTTCAAACCATTAAAGAGAGTAAAAAAATAATTATTAGATAAAACATTAGAGAGAATACAGAATTTCACTAGACAAGATGGTAGGAATTCAGCAATGGTTGTTCCATTGTATATTGTTGTGTTCAAATCAGTTGCTCAGATTATCAGATATAAGCATGCAAAAATTGGTCAAAACATAAAAAATTTTAAGCACTAACTGTTCCTTTCAGTATACTATCAGACATCAGCAGTACAGTTATCTCAGCTGTCTCTCTCTCCCTATGTCTTCTCCTCTCTCTCTGTGTGTGTATATGTATGTATATATAATTTATCTATCTATCTATATATTTTGCCTGCCTTATTTCTTTTTTCTTCTTTCCTTCATCCCAGTTATTCCTTCCCTTGAGCAATTTCTTTCCCTTTCATATCATCTGTTGTACGTTTTGAGAAGTCTTTCAGGTTCCTACACCAGGGAGACAGTATGATGTTTACACATGTGGGTCCAATTTATTTCACTTAGGAGTAAGGTCTCTAGTTGCATCCATTTACCTACAAAAGCCTCGAGTTTATCTTTTTTATAGCTGAGTAACACTCCATTGTATAAAAATACCACATCTTTTTTATCCGTTCCTCAGTTGATAGGTATTTGGGTTGTTTCCAAGATTTAACTATAACAAATTGTGCAGCTATAAACATGGGTGCACATATATTGCTGTGGTATGATTTTTTTTTTGTTTTGTTTTGTTTTGTTTTATGTTTTTAATTCTTCTGGGAAAATACCCAGAAGGGGAATAGCTGGGTTAAGTGGAACTTCCAATCATAGTTTTGTGAGGATATTTATTGATTTCCAAATGTTGAACCACCCTACATTCCTGGGATGGATCCTAAAAGCTTGCAGTATATAATCTTCTTGATGATTGGCTGGATTCTGTTTGTCAGTATCTTATTGAGGATTTTTGCATGTATGTTCATTAGGGAGACTGGCCTCTAGTTCTCTTTTTTGGTTGGATCCTTCTCTGGTTTTGGTGTCAGGGTAATGCTTCCTTCCAGAAGTAGTGGCATTAGTTCTCTAAATTCTTTGTCGAATTCAGCAGTGAATCTGTCAGGGCTTGGGCTTTTCTTTGTTAGAAGGTCTTTAATTACATTTTCAATTTCACTGACTGGTTTTGGTTTATTTAGAATTTTTATATCTTCATTCAACTTTGATGATTTAAATGTATCTAGGAATCTGTCCATTCCTTCTGTTTTCCATCTTACTAGAATACAGGTTCTCAAAGTAGGTACAGATGATCTGGATTTTTGCAGATCTGTTTTGATTCCACCCTTTTCATTCCAAATTGCATGGATTTGATGATTTTTTTGTTAAGGTTGGCTAAGCGTTTGTCAATTTTACTTAATTTTTCAAAGAACCAACTCTTCAATTTATTAATTCTTTGTATTGTTTTCTTAATCTCAATTGCATTATCTGATCTGATCTTTGTAAATTACTCCCTCATACAAACTTTGGGTTTGATTTATTCTTCTTTTGCTAAAAGTTTGAGGTTCAACTTTAGGTTAATTGGCAGGTAATTTTATTGTTAGTATTGAGAACCCTTAGGAAATGACTACTTCTTAGAGATGTCTTCCATATGTAGCTAGCTTTTGGGTTTTGAGTGTGTTGCAGGATCCTACCTCTTTGACTTATTGGGGATGAGAAGTTGCAGTATATTTGACCTAGCACCTGGTTTTTTGGCACTGGCCTATGGTGTTCTTATGACCTTTAGGCAATCTCAATCTTGGTATACCTGGAAGAACAACGGATTAGAACAGTTATGTCACTTTGGCTAAATTAGTGCAATCAGTAATAGCAGTAGCATCAGACAGCCCAGAAAAATGACACACTGTGCTATTAATTTGCCACCTTTAGCCATATAAACTAGATTTGTGGTTATATAACAAAATCTAAAACAACTAGAAAGTTGTATGTAGTAAATATGCCCTCAATGTGGCAATTTTACCTTCAGGGGAGAAAATTTGAAAAGGGTTAGGTGGAAAAATAGAGAAATAGAAGAAAAATGAGTTAGAAGCAAGGCTGGAAGACAAAGGAAGATTACTGAAACTTTGTGAGACTGGTGAAGAAAATAGGGCAAGAGAGAAGGAAGAAATAAAAATAAGAACAGAACAGAGTAAGTAGAATAAAAAACAGAAACAGTGTTCACTCTCATATAAAAACAAGAACAATCAAGAAAATAAGACCCCCAGATACCAAAAAAAAGAAAAAAATGTCCACTTCAAGGTGTATCTCTTCTGTCGCTGGTAGACAGAGTGGACACACAGGGTCCGGATCCCTGTTCATTAATCCTAGCAAGCCAGTTGTAGCTTTCCAGTGAGGTAGTGGGTAATCCCAGCAAGCCTGCACCGTTAGTTCTACTAAGGTCAGGCTGGTTTCTGGCTGTGAGGCTCTAACCTGATCTGTTCAACCTGCAGCACTCCGTGTGCTTCCTGCTGGCTTGAACTCCATTCTTCCTCCCTGACACTGGGAGCCACTAGCGGGAGCTGACTTGCACCTGCTCTGAGTTCTCAGCTCACTTGGCCTCTCTCCAAGATGGTACCGGCCAGTGGCCCTCTCCTGGGGAGATCTGAACTCAAGCAACAGCCAGCCATTGCAGCTTGTTGCATCCACGACTCTGTTCCACTGCTGTGTTTGTCTGTGGAGGTCTTCGAGGTTGCCAGTCGTTATGGTGCCTCTGCAGGTTCCAGCTGCCTCTCCCATGCCACAAGCTGGGGCTCAGGCAGAAAGCGCTTCTTGCTACCTCCTCCTCCATTCAGGTCCCTCTTCATTTACCCATCAGCTTCAGTTCTCACTTCAGATTCCTTCTGGACCCCAGGGACCCACTTCCCACTTCTCTTCTTCACGTTGCTGTATTCCAGCATCTGCACATGAAATCTCAAGAGAGGCTGTTTTTCTGCTCCTTACCACTCTGCCACCTTCCCAGAAAAATCTATAATTTAATTTGTTTGTTTTGTTTTGGTTTGTTTTTTTTGGGTAATGGGAATCAAACTCAGGACCTTTAGCTTGCCAGGCAGGCGCTGTGCCACTGAACTCTAATCCCAGGCCCTGTGATTTAATTTTTAATGATGGCTGCATTTTACAGCTGGCTTACAGAATTCCTGGAAATTGAACAGTGTGCATTTACAAACCCCTGCGAGGCTACTGCAGCCCTGGAGATGATCTCTGGGGGGACAGTGATAACTCTGCCTGTGGTGTAGGTGCCCTGACCTCTGAACCAAGGGAGGAAGGTGGTTGACAGAGATGGGTGTGCAGATTGTCCCTGCAGTGCCCTGTGGTGAGAGTTCAGTCAGCTTTATGAGGTGTGTCACCAAAACATGTCTCCTGTCTCAACATCTGTGACCCAGCACAGTCACAACTGTGACACAACAGCTGTGGGAAATGAAATCTTAGTGAGGGAAGGCAGAGAAAAGATCTTAGCCTTCTTCCAGGTGCTGGGACAGGGCATGCCACACACGGCCTATGTCCCCACTTGCTCAACGGCAGGAACACTTTGCTTCATGTTCAGACACTTCATCTATGGGCAGAAACCCTCCTTCCTCGGGCCCCATCGCCTGGATTCCGTGACACTCAGCATTTGTCTGCATCTCTGGCATGGCCAGAAATGAGCCCAAGTGGCGTCTGAAGCAAGACCTATGGGATCCTAGGGACTCAGAGCCAGTGACAGAAGGGAGGTGACGGCTTGGAGATGACTGGGCATGGAGGCTTCTGCCGTAGCACACTGATGGCCACCTTCTAGGGTTGTCTCCCTCCTGAGGACAGTCCACGTGGCCTGATGTTTGTAGACAAACAGGCTGTTGATGTAGGAAATGTAAATAATAGCTAGCAGTACCTACTGTAAGTATTGGAGTTTGCAGGGCCACAAAACACCATTGGCTTCATCTCTGAAGAATAGTGGCTTTAGCTTTGTAGCCACCAAAGAAGAGTGTGATGCTGACTGTACTGACTCCACCCTTGACTCACCTCTGAGGCTACGCAGTACTTACCACCCAACCGGCTTGGCTCTGGAATGGATGGTGATTGCTGTCTGCAATCAGAAGTGGCTACATGGAAAAGGACATCTTTTACAGATGACATCCAGGGAGCCCAGGTTCAGCACCTGGTGCTGTTCCAGAGCCCTACAGGGATGACAGGTGCAGATTCACATTCAGGTGGGGTTATGGAGGGTGAACCACAAAAACAGAATTCCAAACATAGGACGTTGTGAGTCCTGATGGTCGTGCTCAGAACCCAGGGGAGGGGTGCCGCAGCCCAAGCCTACGCGAAGTGCCATTGCTTTGGTGCTGGGTATAGGAGGAAACACGTTTGGTAGTGAGCCCGGGTTAGGATGTTCTGGGTCAGCAGCCCCACAGGAAGGGGCAACGCGGTGCACATGCTGGGAGCTATGGGAAGTATGGCTGTGGGGCCTGGGACGGAAGGCAGGACTCTGCACATCTGTCTGTTCACACTCAGAGCACTGTGGAAGAGGAAGGGGAGTAAGAAGGCCAGCGCCCGCAACTTCACTGAGGCTGCCTGCCCCACCGTGGTTCTGTGATTAGGTGGCCAGATTCAGGAGGTGGATTTTACGTGTCCAAGTGGCCCTGCTGGAGATTGAGCAGATGCATGTGTCCTTGTTGTGTTGATGCCACTGCTTTGTGTGTTGCTGTAGCTGCTGCCGATCCACACACTGAGGCTGGGCATGGAAGTGGACTCCTTTGATGGGCACCACTACATCTCTTCAATTGCTCCTGGGGGGCCTGTGGACACCCTAAACCTCCTGCAACCAGAAGATGAGCTTCTCGAGGTAAGAGTCCTGGAAAGAAAGATGGCAGGCAGGACATTTTTAAGGTTTGGGAACATGTGTCCACTGAGTTATAGTATCACCAGTGCCAATGGAGCATTGGCCTCTTGGATTGGAAATGCTGACAGTATGTTGGGTGACAAGGGAAGTGGGTGCCATGCTTTCAGGCCGCTGCCTTACCTGCTAAGGTTCCTGATGTGGGCTAGTGAGAGGAGAGGGCTTCACCTTTTATCCTCTGCCGCACAGATCTGCAGAGCGATAGCAAGTGGGGGTGATTTTTGGTGAAAAAGGTGAATCATCGCTAAGAAATCTTTCTGAAACACAAACATTTGTGTGCAGTAACTCGAGAGCAGACACACGGTGGCCACATTGGCACGGCTCATGGGAGTGGAACGGGCATGTGTTATGTGTGCTCCTTTTCCACCAAAGTGATTTTTCTTGGCAGTAGCCTATGTGTGGGACCCGGCGGGCACTGGGGGTGAGGGTAAATGCTGAGAGCGGCGACCTTCAGTGTTGACCTCTGCACATAAGATGGGGTTTTCCACAGCCCCGAGCTCAGTGCTGGTGTTTATAGCAAAGCTTGTGAGCAACACAAAGGCAAAAGAGAAAAGAGAACAGTCAGCAGTTGTGTGTGTGTGTGTGTGTGTGTGTGTGTGTGTGTGTGTGTGTGTGAGTGGACGAGGCATTCAGTGCCTTTCTGCAGAGATTGGTACAAGCGGGTCAGAGACAGTCCTGGGAAAGCCAAAGAAGAAACCAGAGGCATGAGATGCAGTGAGGTCACACAGTCGGAGCTGAACTCTCCACGCACTTTATGCTTTCTCCACCCGAATTTGGTAAAGATTCAGCCTTAATTTTGAGGATTTGAAACGTTTTCAGTAACTGCAGCAATATGGCTAAACTTAGGCCCATGCTCACCGGAGCCTGCGCTCAGTTTGGAGACGACAGAGATTTGCCTTTCACCTCAGTGTGGACTCCCTCTCCCCAGGTGAATGGAGTACAGCTGTATGGAAAGTCTCGGCGGGAAGCGGTCTCCTTCCTAAAAGAAGCGCCACCCCCTTTCACCCTGGTGTGCTGTCGGCGGCTGTTTGATGATGAGGCCTCTGTCGATGAGCCCAGGACTGCTGACACCTCCACTCCCGAGCTGCAGGTACCAGGTGGCTGGCTGCGGTGCCAGGGGACACCCAGGGGAGGGTATGGCGAGATGAAGAGAGGGAGCCTCCCCAGGCAGTTTCATCCGAAGGAGGCAGTGATGCATTCCCTGGTAACATTTATCTTTTGTAAAAAAAAAAAAAAAAAAAAAAGAATCTGAAGGAGGAGTTCCATGTGCTAAACTTCCTTGACCTCTGCTGTCCTTACTGAAATGCAGTGAGGTGGCTCCCCCTGCTGGCTGGTAGCAGTGCCTCCATCCCTCCTCGCGGGGTATAAATCACCTGCCTTGATTGCTGGCCCAGCTCCCGTCCATCATTCTTCACCACAACGGTGAACACCAGCGTGAATTATGCCGTGTGTCAGCCGTGCTGCTGCCCATTAGTTGATTGCTTTCTGTTCTGTAAATACGAGAGTTATGCAGAACTGATTCCACCAGAGTGATATATTTCAGGTTGGAGCATAATATCTTATGCACCTGGGGAATGCCTTGACATTTCTATAAACTTACTCTTATTTTTGTAATTGTATATGGTGTCTTAGAATCCTGGCTGTCTTCTCCCTCAGTCTTTCTTTTTGCTTATCCTGATAGCGTCTTGTGTTCTCAAGCTCGGTCGGGTTCAGCGGCTCAGCCTTCCTAATCCCCGTTAATCAGCAAGGGCACTGAAGGGCTGGGAAAGCAGCAGTCTCCCGCTGTCAGTCTTTAGAACTTTCCCTTTATTGGAAGATTGAGTGTTTTCTCTTTCAGTGCATCTCTTGCTCACATCTGGCTAAAATACCCAGAGGTTATTGATCTAGAACACTCTCGATCATTTCAGGTCTTGTCATTTAAGAACCTAGAAACTCTTCACATGTTTAGACTCAGTTCACGACGGACTGGGTATTGATCTTCCATGTCCTGCTGGGATCTGGGCCAGCCTGTCTTTGAAAATACCTTTGTGCTGCCTCTGGTGCCTTAAGCTTCCAATTACAGTGAGAGCCCCTCCCTAAATCCATTCAGGGCCTTCCTTACACAGGTCACTCACACTTGTGATTCCGGGAGAGGTGCTTTTGCATTCCATTTGCTGAGGTCACACAGTTTTAAGAAGTCTGCTTTTAGAAATTATCATTTTAAGGGAGACACACAGAGAAAGTGATGTCTCATAATGTCCTGAGGCAGTGGTTCTGGGAGCATCCGGGAGGTGGCGGAGGTGGGGTGGGCAGAGTTGGGACAGGCCAAGGCCGGACACCGGGCCTGCTGTGCAGGGGGCCACACGCCACTTCCTCCAGCCCTGGAGCCGGTGTTGGTCAGCGCTGAGGGAACAAAGAGGGAAAGATGTTCTTGATTCTCGTGTAGGTCAGAGCATCTGGGGAAGATGGGTCAGATGAAAATACCGGGCTGTGAGCGAGTGAAGGCGGGAGGGTGTGGAGGGGCGCTGTCCTGTGGCCCCGGCCCCGTGGCTGTCTCCTGGGTCTTGGACACCTGTAGAGCATGCTCGAGGACGGGCCCTGGGACCTCGGGGCCTCAGGCTTGAACTCAGGAGAGACCCAGGACCTGTGCACTGGGCAGCAGTTTCCTTCAGGACCCAGTTTTTATGATTTCAACTCAGTGATTTTTTTACCCATTTTTGGAGTTGTGCAGTGCCTGAGGAGTTGGAGTTTTTTCCCCTTATTTCTCCAGTAAAGTTTTTGGAAAACCCCTTGGAGCCTAAAGAAGTGGTTTCTCTGTGTCCTGCTCTCCCTGTCTGTGTAGTGACACCCTTCTGTCATTGTGATTATGAGTCCAGGTATTGCTTTTTAAATGTCTTACACACTTCTACTTTGTATGATGTTTTTATTTTTACTTAAATTGCATATTTTTCCTTTTATGCTTCTAATGGGATGAGAGAACTCATTGAAGTATAAGAGGTCAGTGTTCATACTTTCAATGAAACTATACTCTGCATTTTAAAAAAGCATATATGAACAATTAGTGTTTTCAAATGCTTGGATTTTTATAGAGATCTTGTCCTGACTGTTTATGCCCCAGTGCATGGTGCTTTAATGAGACTGTAAAGAAAAACTGCATGCCAAAGGGAACGCCCCAGTTTGCAAAGAAGCTGTGCGACTCCTCACATGTTCACTGTCTTGAGAATAGAGGGGATGGTTCTGAAGCATTTTTCTTTGGTGTTCCAGGGTGAGCAGAGCGTCGATGCCAACACTGAAGAGGACGATGATGGAGAACTAGCCCTGTGGTCTCCAGAAGTCAAGGTTGTTGAGCTGGTGAAAGATCATAAAGGCTTAGGATTCAGCATTCTGGATTACCAGGTAGAACCCATACAAAGGTTTTCTATTTTCACTTCATTTGGAGTGATTAGTTTATGTTAAAGTTACGTGAAAAAGTAATTGTTCAAGGCACCATTTACATGAAGAAGTAATTGTTTAAGGCACCTTTGACTCGTGCAGAACTGAATCCCAAAGAAGGGATACTGTGTTGCTCAGTTGTTACCTTTGAAATTAGCAGCTCTTTGTGGCCGCTGTGTCGGGCAGTATAAAAACTGGACAATACCGGAAGCAATACTTCCCTATGGGAAGCAGTCTGTGAAATTTTGGAGAACAGAGCTTGATGAGCGTTTTAAAATGAGAGCCCCTCGTTTTATTAAGATACACCTCACACACCATAAATTCACTCATGTAAGGGGAGCAGTCCAGTTGATTTTAGTGTATTGGTGAGTTGTGCAATCGTCCCCTTTTTTTTTTTTTTTCTGGTTTTTTAGACAGAGTCTCGCCATACAGTTCAGTCTGGCCTTGAACTCACTGTACAGCCTAGATTGGCCTCAAACTCAGCCTCCCGAGTGCTGGGGTTACAGGCATGGCCGCCACACCTGGCATAGCACCAGCTTTAGAATGTGCTCAGCACCCGCACAAGAAACCCTGTGCGCGTTAACATTCATTCCCAGTGTTCACTTCCCCTCCCGTCCCTCTGAGGTGTTTGTGTTTTGCTCACTATTAATCTCAATGAATTTAAATAACAACTGTTCTTGGTGAAATCGTGCTTATGTGAATCGTAAGGTGGGGCATCTGCACACTTGCAGTTGTTCGCCTGCCACGAGGGCAAAGCTGCTGATCCATGGGGGCCTCGGGGTTTCAGTGGGACATCTACGTTACCCCGGTTTGGGGGGACTGTCATGTTTTTAGACCTCTGATTATTTGGGAGAAGAAAACTGTTGGCAAGAAATCTTTTCCTTTTTAAGATACGTATTTTAATTTTTTTTTTTTTTTTGTCTTTTTGAGACAAAGTCTCACTGTGCAGTTTACACTGGCCTTGAGCTCACTTTGTAGCCCAAACTGGCCTTGAGAAATGTATTTCTTTTT